AAACTATAATGTTTTACTGAAAAAAAAAACGTTTTAAATGCATTTAGGAAGTTTTAGGGATTACACAAAGGAAATTTGGGATTTTTGAGATGAGGAAAAGTATTTTTAATTTTAACATGAAAATTACATTGCACATGGACTATTCAAAACAAATAATATATTTATGGACAAATTTTTATTTTATTTTATTTGATTAATAATACTTTACTAAAAAATATGATTTTTTGTGTGTGAAAGACTTGTAATGTTAACTGAAAGACTGCCAAATTTTGTGAAGATGTACACACTATATTGAGAATTATAAGTATTAAATCTATAAAGACTTTAAACTAGTAGAAAAAATCACATGGTCGGTCAGATTGACCAAGCCCATATTGAGAGAGTTAACTAGTGTTGCCTAAACCGACAGCTAGTTATTCCTTCCAAACTACAATTAATCCTCCTATAAAGAACATCCAGATAATGAAATTTCACCATAACAAATAAAATTATCTGTTCAGATAATGAAATGCATTTCTGCTTTAAAGAAAATCATACCTGAATTCACTCAAACATCTGGCACCATGCGTTAGAATGTTTACATATAAATAATCTCCAAGACATGTTTTTTCTTGAATGTTAGTGTGTATGTGTAGCTAATCATAATATAGGTATATTTATATATGAATAAATGTTCTTTATGTAAGTACTGCCCTCTCACATTATATATCAGATTAGATATCTGTAATGTGTTATCTTGTTGGTTATGCTTGTGTCACTTATAACACTGTTTCATTCTAAAGTTTAGATCATCTATGGAATGCGGTATATTGTAGGTTACGTTTGCCACAATAAACGTTTAAAAATTTTGGTATTTTGTTTTTAGCTTACTAGTAAAAATATTAATTATTGTCTATATTTATCAACATGTTATTTATCACATAACAATATCAATGTGATATAATTAAATAATTACGAACCAAGAATTAATAAAATTAACACGATTTTGGTCCCAGATAACATTAACTTTATGATTTTGACAATCAGGTAAAATGAATTAGAAATGTCAAAGTACCTCTGTGAGAAAGTGAACAATACATAATGTTAGTGACAAAAAATTATAATTGATTTTTTTTTAACATTGTGAAATCAATGTCAAATATTAATGAATGTCTTTTAGTGAACTGACATGTTAGAGTGACATAGTGATCAGTTTTTCAATCCTCTAGAAATGTCTTCAACTGAATTTTAGTACATGAGGAACTGTAACCATGTCACCCTGCAAAATTTAAAATACCCATTATTTGCAGGGTTTTATTGCAGGCTTTGACAGAAAAGGGGTTATTAATAATAAAGAATAAGGACAGGTGAATGATGGCAGATTCAAGAAGAGATGAGTTGATCTATAAAAGAAAGCACATGAAAGGTGCTGAAAAAAGTAAATTGGCCATGGAACAAGCACTACAAAAGCTGTCTGGTTTGCTGTCTAAATTCTTTAAGCAGACAGATTATATTTCATCTAGAAAAGAAAGTGAAGGTTCAGGCCAAGAGTATGGACCTCACTCCAGCAGGACAGATGGAGGGACCTTGGAAAGTGAAAGGAGTTGTGAAGACTCTCCAAGTAAAATTTAAGATGCCAATATGCTTCACGGTGACACAAAATCTCACATGCCTGAGTCATTATCTCCATCTCCTCCAACCCAAACTGAAATGATAGCAGAGTTGCCAGTACAGTCCATCATTTGGGATGATCCTGGGGAATGGAAAATGCCATTAAATCATAGCCATTTTACACATATAATCAAAAAAGGTCTAGTTTATGTCCAAATGAATGATAACAAGTTTCCAAAAGGTGTTGAGAACTGCCATTTCAGTACATTTCACTACACAATGAAGAAACATGACTAGCATTGGCTTGTTTACTCTAAAAGGAAGAACTCTGTCATTTGCTTTGCATGTAAGCCGTTCTTGTCATCAGTATCAAACATTTCCAATGTAAATCAAGGTCTGTCAGATTGGAAAAACCTTAGCACATCTCTGCACAAACACAAAGCTAGGAAAAATCACAAAGATGCAATTGGAAGATGGCTCAAAATGTTAAAACTATTAAAAAGTGGGAACACAGTTGACAGGCTATCCCAAAAACAGCTCCAGCAAGAAAAGCTGCACTGGTGTAATGTCCTGGAAAGACTCCTGGCAATAACACAGTACCTGGGATCCCATAACATGGCTTTCCGTGGTCACAGTGATAATCTGTACACAACAAACAATGGTAACTTTCTTGAACTAG